TAAAGTGTACATTTCCACAATGCAATCCTGATTTATATAGGCAGTCCTGCAAGAAATTTCAATGGACATGCAATTAGAATGAACAAAGCTTAAGCTAAAAGCCGTTTTCAGATGATTATAAAGGAAAATGTTTGCCCTGTATGGAGGACAGCATTTTACATTTCAGCACAAACACGTTCCCTGACTCCCCCAGTGAGCTCATTAAGAAAAAGCAGAAGCAGCCTTTATCTCTGCTCAGGGTTGTAATCAGGAGCTCTGCACTACGTGTGTCACAGCTGAACTAAATGGACACAATGCGTCACTGAACACAATATCAGGCGGCTGCTGACGCAAGATGTCTGCAAAGAAGTAAAAAAGAATGAAGAACATAAAAGTTCATAGTGCGTCATGTTTATAGGCATGTAGCTTTTCCCAATCACATACTGGAACTGAACCGCTGTACATAGAAGAACTAAAATTGCATCACTCTATAAACCGTTAACAGCTTTTGATCAAATAAATAATAGTACCTAGATTTAAAGATTGCACTAGGAAATGATTGAAAACACATTACACAAAAAATGGTAAGAGGTACAAGGCTCAATTCACAGAGCTAAAACACCAAAGCACACACAGAGCTACAGTACCAGGATAATTATCCTTTTTTTGTTTGTTTGTTTTTAATTGTACAATTATTATTTTCAATATGTAAGGATACAGTATAACAAAGAGCATATTCCAACATTAAACAGGTAGAATCAGTACATACATAGGATCAGTCATCTTATTGCAGTTTGTAATCTTTCCAAATCGATAAATACTATAAAAAGAGTGATTGTGAAAAAGTTGGGGGAGAAAAACAGTGGTGGAGAACTCGTCCACCTTACACAGGTCACAACATTGTAGTGGAAAGCTGGAAATGCACATTAAAAGTTGTAACATGCATCTGCGAGGATGTCGCATGAGTGTTTGGGTCCCATGGCTGGACATAATATTCCTGTTCTGTACTGGGCCAGGGAAGTGTTGTGCAGTGTAGAATGGTGAGGGGTATAAAGGAGTTTAGAAGGTAGGTGGGGGAGCTGGCTGAAAGGAGATGTAGGACAAGAGCCTGCTTGCCCTGGTCACCCCCACCACCCCATCTCCAACATGGTGTGTACATTTGAACCCAAGTGGATAAGGATTGAAGAGTTTGGTATGAAGGGATAATTGTAAAGTAAGAAAGCAAGTCCAAAAGGACCAGATTGTACTGAAGCTCTCTTCAGTACCTCTGAGAGAAGATGTTAAATGTTCCATATCCTCCAACATTCCCCAGCTTTACTGATACTTGACGTTAGGAAACTAGAGGGACACAATGTGGATGTGGGAATGGGGAGTGTCTTTCTACTAAAAAGCTGGAATACAGGCCCTAGCAGCATTAACCAAGTGCTTAGCAAGTGAGTTTTTGTATTGTGAAATAGGGAGTTCAGCCAGGTGTAGGTTCCTTGCTTTTGAAATAGTAACAGTTGTAGAGATTTGAAAATTACAGTCCCATGGCTTCATGGAGTCTTATCTTTGTGTAAAGCCTCATCTAAATTCACATATTTTACTTTGCACAGGCAACAAGTGATAAAACATCCAGGGCTCACCAGAGAAGATGCGCTGTACCAGTCCTGGGAAAGCTGTGGACAATCTGAACTTAGCTTTCTAGAGAATTCTAGTATGCAGATCTGTTTAGAAAAATTTTGTGAAGGATGCAAAATGGCTAAATCTAGCTTGCAGATTCTGCTCTGCTAAAAAAAACAAAAAACAAAAAACTGTAGTTATTTTTTAAAAGGTTTATGTCCCTCAACTGTTCATCTGTTTATTGCAAGTTATGACCTTTTCTAATATATTTGGTCAAAAATATGTAGTTTTGGAGGTGCCATTTTAAATACTTACAGGTGGCCTGACTCTAATGTAACCAGTTTAAAACATTTTTAGTCCTGTGGGGGTCGCTTGCCAAAGTTCATGCTTCAAAATAAAATCTAACTATATACGGTACCAGTGTTAATGTCTGCACATGTTACAAGCGTTTACAAGTGGCAACTGTCACCCATTCAAGATAATGATCAGGTGACAGCCGCTGCATACCGCATGTAATCATATGTGAAAAGATTACATGCAGTTACAAAAACATTCACATATGATTACATGCGGTATGCAGGCGTTTACATGCAACGGCTGTCACCTGATCATTAACTTGAATGGGTGACAGTTGCTGCATGTAAACGCCAGATTATGGATTCCTCAGTGTTGCTGATCTCCTCCAGCCTCTTTATGTCACTTCCTGTCTACATGCACCAATGTTGGGTACACATCATTGCTCTACACTGGCTGCCTGAAACCATACCAGTGCAATGTGTGTTGATAAAGCCGCTTGTAGTCTTCATCTGGGGTGCATGTGACAGGGTGACAATGCAGAAGCCCAATTGGGGAAAAGGGAAGAGAGCGTTTTACATGCATTTCCTGTTATGGAGTGACACCGACAGAAATCAACTTCTGAAATTCTACAACATGGTAAAGCTCATAATCTATTTTAGTGATTGGGTTTAGATCTACTTCATGTGCTAAGTTAGCCAAGAAGGCAGTGGTTTGGGTCAGGATTTCACCGTGACAGTCCACTGTCAAGTGCTAAAATAATTTAGCACTTGCCCTGATGAAGTGGTTTATTTTTCAGTTAAATCAGATCTATACTCACCTCCGATACAGTGATACATCGTCTGCAAGCTCCCTCTAGTACCAACATCATCTTCCCAGCATTTTCTAGGTTTGGCATCTTCAGTCACCTTGATTAGGATGCCCTCGACGAGGTAACCCTTGTATGTGCTCATTCATTCATCCTGGCAGATGCAGAAATTGTACACTAGCTGCACATGCACAGCTCAGTGTACACAAAAAATAGAAGAGTGGCAGGTAAGCAGCCTTTATTGCAGAAGAGTCATGGTATGTCCCCTCTGCAATAAAAACATACCTGTTCACAAGTTTTAAAAAACAGCTACTCCACTTTAATATGTTGTTTCAGCGCCCAGAAATGCTTTCTATATTCACTATCAATCTATTCAAGATCTCTTTCAAATAAAAGTAATATCCTACCTTTTTTTATTAATGAAAGCATAACTGAACTTTTTTTTTTTTTTTTAAAGAAAGGAGAACTCTTTCAGCAATTTGGAAGTACATTATACAAGCAGATTTAAATAGCAAGACATATTTGATTTTGTTATAACAATTCTGAATATTATCATTTGAACACAGATATAAAATCAATGTCATTTTGCATTAATACACTTATTATTAAAATCTATTATTCATTGGCAATAATGTGGAATCAAACTTAGGCTGCTGGTTGCCCTTTTACAGATGGTACAAGTCTGCGCTCTGCTGGACAAAACTGAAACCTTTTGTTTTCTCAAAGTAGAAGTTTGCCCAACAAAAAAGCCTTGCAACAATGCAATAGATTGACAAACAGTAAACAATATAGGTCTAAAATTCTAAAGAAAGACGGCTCATTTTTCTCTCATTCAGCCGCGGAGTTAACAAGAGAAATTAATCGATTCTCATTTGAATGGAGGAGTCTTCACTGCCAGCTATTATAGTAAGGCAGCCTTGGCAGCCGATAATTTTCCACCTGACTAATATTTAAATTTAATTTGCTGAGTCAGGTGCTTGCAGGGATACCCATAACTCAAATTTAAACCATCTATGGCCAGCCATGCTGTACTGCCAGATGGTTATCAGAGAAGAAAGAAGGGTCAACACACTTTTAAAGCAAGCATTCAAATCTGGATAGATTACCGCCATTGTTCACAATCACACAATCTTTGGTGACCTAGTCCCCACTCCAACTGCTAGGCACGAGTCTTTTATGTAGATAATTTTCTTTCATTATTGGTCATTCTACATATTGCACTCAGCCTCTACTAGTAAAGGTGTTTATGAATAAACATATTTGAACACACATTCTCAATCTAGGTTTTCTTCTCAGTTGCTTGAGAACTGTATGGAATAGCCATACACCGCTATTCTATACAGAGTGGCAACAGAGGCAAAATTCTTCAACTGATAAACTGCTTAAACATGGATTGATGGAGGTCGACAATTTAAGAAATCCTTCGTAAACCTTTATGATTTTATGTGTCTCAACAATCTTTTAAAAGTTGCTCTCAAGAAAGAAATACACAAACTTTTTATTCAGTGGCTGCGATTGTTTAACCCCTTCGTGACGGGAGACGTACACTGTACGTCCAGCCACAAAGGGACCAAATGACTCGTCACGTACATTGTACGTGATGAGTTATTTGCTGCACTAGAAGGCTGGTAACCGCTGAGAATCAGCGGTTATCATTCATTAATGGATGCCTTAAGTTTAGACGCATCCATTAATGAAAGGGTTAACCTTTTTCAGACACCCGATACCTGAAGATCGGGTGTCTGAGAGTCACAGCAGAGCCGGCAAATAGCCGACTTTTGCCGGCATTCTGACAGAGAGATATCTCTCTCAAGCTATACTGGCTTTTTTTTTTTCTTCCACTTTCAGGAATAGATACGTAATGTATCTATTCCTGAAAGAAGAATGTTTCCGTTTTCTGATAGTTTGTAAAAAAAAAAAAAATAAGGGACAAATAAATGAATGTATTTATTGCATTTTTTTTTTTTAGCTGTGCTGGTTTCGTAAAAAAAAAAATACTACAAATCAGAACTGGGAAAAAAAGGGTTTTTTAACGTTTTTTCTTCTTTTTTTATATTTTATTTGTCCTAAGTGAGGCGTTAGACACACATATGTGATATAAATATATAGCCCTATCTGTCCTCTAAAAAACAATATATAATACGCGTGGGTGCACTTTGTAAGAAAGTATATTACTGACGTGGAAGAATCACACAGCAAAAATGTCAAAAGTGTGTCAGTCATTATATGTGTGTGTGTGTGTATATATATATGTGTGTGTATATATATATATATATATATATATATAAACACATGTTTATAGGCATTAGCCACTTACCATACAAGTCAGGTCCATGAGGTGTAAAGACATTGTAGAGTACAATATTAAGAGGGGCTATGACAAGCTTCCCATAGTAATAACTGTCTATAGCAACCAGGGGAACCTACAACAGGGAAAGAACAAATGTCACTTACTTTGTTTTATAACCATTTGCATAGAGATTGCAATAAAACAAAGCTAATGAATGTCAAGGTTGTATGAGGCATTCCAGCTATTTAAGGAAGAACCTCTGGCAAAGAAGATAAATGTCAGCCCATAATGATGAGTAAAATACATTATTGGGTATAATTGTCTGGCTAACCAGCAAAATCTTTACTTTTTCTGTCCAGGCATTTCTTGGTTGTATCAGTTTATTAAAGAATATGTAGTCCTACTCTAAACAGACACTACTTTGTAAGTCTACTGTTATGGACTGAGGACAGCTTTTCCTGCATTTTTCAATATTCCTGCAAGGTAAACCAATAAACGGGTAATGTTTGAAGCGCCCACAGAGGCAGGAAAATTAAATGTGGCTTTTAATTATTTTTCATCAAATTCATTGTATTAGGAGGACAAAGCCCTTCATGAGTTATAAAACCATGGGGTAATTAAAAGTTAGGTATACAAAGAATCATTTTTAATGCCTCTTTTCTTTAAACTATGTTTTAAATAAATGATATCCAGTTATAGTCAATAGGGTATAAGTCACCATAAACAACTCCTTACCTGCCTAGTTTGGATCTGATGGTCCTGGGGTATGCTTTGATGACAGAGCCTCCTCCTTTCTTGTTTAAAGCTATTAAGCCTTTCTCTACAGAACTGCTCACAAGATACTGCCTCTTGCTCCAACACTAAGATTTAATTTTTTTTATTTCAACATTTTAACCACCACACAAGAACAAATTACCTTTAGTTCCTATAACTTAAAATGCAGACATACTAAGTAAAAATATATTTATTGGCCAACAAAGCTATTATTTCCTAAAGGACAGTGTTACATAACTTGCATCAATATCATGATGGCAATCTCTAGCCTGAGGTCACTGTGTTTAGAAACAAGCATTCTCATTGTGACCATAGGTATTAGAAACAGACTTACCAGAAATATTATCAGTGCAACAACACACCAGTTGATAAAATTCTTCCATTTTTGTTTCATAAACAGCAAGTCAAAGGCAATGGGAAACCTAAAAAATGAGATAAAATATTACTTTGACAATTACATGTGCCCCTGTTTTTATCCCACAACCCATAAAAATAATGATCAATCAAAACAAATTGTGTTAATGTATTTTTCCAGGATAAAGAGCATACCAAGTTGAATACAAACAGCTGGACTTTAATTTTTAACTCAAAATCCTCTCTAACGCTCAACACATAGGCCATCAGATGTGAGATGAGTATGATACAGTCCATGATGACAAAACTGGTGAAAAGATGAAATCAGAAGGCCACATTTCTGTGCTGTACAAATGCATCACTCACGTATTCGAATGTATATAACTTTATCTACTCAAAAAAACTACTTCATCACACAGACAATTGTACTGCTTAAAAAAAAAAAATCAATTTCCCCAGCTCCCTTGCAACTAATAAGAGATTTTGTCACAAATAACCCGTACCCAACCTCAATTAGTAGGTGAACACTCTTAGGTGGGGTGACCTACGCTGAGAGAATGTTAAGGTGACACTAAACTCAGTACTTTAGTGGACTACAATTTCAATACAAATGAGTAAACTAAACATCACATTGTAGTCCATCACAGGAGTGAGCTAGGAGCGGTGGCTACTGTACAACACACACAGGGACCATGGGCAACAGAAGTAGCCACCCTCCAGAAGGAAGGACTGTGGCAGCACCAATTCAGAGATGATGAGGATCTACAGTTGAGTGATACACAAATAAGATACATTTTTGTTAATAGTTAAGTTATTTGAATGTATCAATGACTGCCAATCGTGGTGATGATATGATGTTTGTTTACAAACAAACCGGCAGTTTCCAGCTGTCACTTTGCCTGACACAATAAAGGCTGTTAAATATAAAAGACATACCGTATATGTGTCCAACAAACAAATGCCAAGATTATTTAGATAGGCAAGTTAGTGATAGTTATTGTCAAGGTAACCAAAGCATGATGTCATTGCTAAGCTTGGTCTGGGCATCTAGAATTAAATAGCCTCAGGTCAAGAAAAGGATAAATGTGGATAAACTGCACATATTTATACTGAAGTCAGCAACCACCTAGAATCTAAATATTAACACCGTGATAAGAACATTTCATTTTTATTGTCCTAAATCATTTTCTGAGCAGGAAGCGGCCTTACTAAGCCTGGTAATATTTGACACCAAGGGACTGTTTAGATTCCTCTTTTTTATGTAAGTTATCTTGATACAAGATCTAAAAACTAACAGAATGAAGACAAGATGAATTATAAGTACAAACCATGCTAAAGGACGCAGTTAATTGTAGCAAACCAACTAACTACACCCAATTTGGAATAATCACTAATCTTGGCTATAATATAATATTAAACAAACAACATGAGCATAAAGGCTGAACAGCTAAATACACAAATAAAATGTATATGGTAGGCCATTTTAGCTGCCAAAGGATTTACATTTCTGTCCATTGTTAAATTGGTTCCAAATCAGCCAATGTGATTTGTCTGGATTTTTTTTCTCATTTTGTCTCTCATAGTTGAGGTCTACCTATGATGCCAATTACAGGCCTCTCTCATCTTTTTAAATGGGAGAACTTGCACAATTGGTGGCTGACTAAATACTTTTTTGCCCCACTGTATAAACAATCCTGCTACACCAGCAGACAGATGGATGACACCTTCCACTGAAAGAATACAGTGGTGTCTTTTCTCCACCCCATCCTCCCAATTAGACAGCGAAAGAGCAACAACAGGCTGATGAGGTCATGCATTTATACTAGCTGTATAAAAAAAGAATGTAATGATGTATTAATGATTACACAGCTGCATTCATTTAAGTCTTTTAAATCTATCTGAAGTTCAGCTTTAAATGACCATGCATTTTTCGAGGATGATTGTTCTAAATTTATATACAGCGTTTCTATGAACCATTCCTTTGTTTGATTGATTCTTACCCAAGAACAGCACTAAATGGCCAGCCCCAGATAGCTCCAGCAGCCACACCGAGTACCGCCACGGAAATCTTGTCCATATACCAGCCTGTCATGGCTATAACCGTGGTATACATACAGAAAGTACTAGGGAGGTAAGCTGCCAAAAGGAAAAACATTTATATTTACATATCTAGACAAAAGAAAGTATGGTACAGTAAACACTACGTCTTCCTATTTTCAACTGCACATTTAAAAGTATGACTATACTACGATGGGAGATGTAGTCATAGAAACTGCTGTTGCATCACAAACAAGGGCCATCTGCTTGCTTGTGAAATGATGACCCAAAGTGGATAAATGTGTTGTAGATAGCGGTCACACATATTTTAATAAATGGTACAACGATGCGTGGTGTATGCATTATGAATTGCATGCCCATTCATTTTTAATAGAACCCCAATGCTCATATGTAGTAAAAACAAAGGCACCTGGCCCTTAGTGTACCGCGATAGATGCAATAAAAATATGTTGCACTGTAAAAAATAAGTCAGGTGCATTTTTGGTCTATAGAAAATGAATGGGTCTGTTCAATGCCACACATGTCAACACACCAAAAAAGAGTGCACAACTGAAGGTCCTGAAATTTAGACGCACATGCAGTGGGTCACAATCATGAATGTCAGAGGTTGTTTACAATATGTAGAAAAAGATAAATAGACTGGAGTTATCTGTATATACATTTTTTTTACTTCATGCATTGGCTGTCCTCTTTTGTACAGAAGTAACACTACTAATATAAACCACTTTAAAAGGATACTTCGTTTTACAGCAGCCCTAAAATAAGATTGTGCTCTAGGGGGGGAAAATGGATCTGAGGATGCCTCTCTCTTATGCCCCAGACCCAGAGTAATCACTGCCATTCACCCTACACTGAGGCATGCATCCTACAATCCATACAGAACTAGCATTCCCTTATTTCTGGTTATAAATATACTGAGCAGCCTTAACCTGCACCATAATAGAGCATGTCTGTATGTCACACCTACCAGCAGCTGCAGAAAACATTCCAGTGCTAAGGACTAGGAAAGCCAGTGTAAGTCGCCCTACATGAAGCCCAAACTTTTTACATACAGCCCTGGAAAAGAAAAAAAATTTAGCTGTTATAGCAACTATATTTCATATCAGATGGGAGATAAAATGTAACACAAGAATGTTTTCATACACTTTCTGAGAATGCTTTAGATTTATGGACATATACTAGTGTTTAATAGGTCAACACAGCTTTGGCAGTAGTGAGCAATTACACTGTAATTTTTAAGCATTGTGGGAACGCCTGTTACTGCAATTTACTTTACTTGCATTAATGTGTTGCAGTACAATTCATTTAGAATGGCACCCCAACACACACTGCCAACAGACATGTAATGTAGCTCAGTGCAATGCACTAATGTGCACTACCAGAAAAGGTACATGTCGGTTTTCTAGGTCATAGAGGTGCGTTGCCACCCCTTTCATTTTGAATGGGCTGCCGAACGCAGCAAGGGTTAATGCGCAAAAAAACATGCATTAAAGCACCACAGCCCAGCAGAAAAGTGTGAAGCTTGCCTTATAATAGCATCTGGGGTATTAACGTTTACAAAACTACAATCATGTAAATACATGCCGAGAGATTACGAACATGTGAAAAGATCACTTGTTTGGCTTTCTTCTTCTGTGATTCGCTACTAACAAATTATATTTCAGGTTCATGCATAATTTGCCAACAAAATGACTAAACAATCTTAATTATTATAGGGTTCTAAAAGTAGAAAGTGAAGTTATAATCAAATGAGAAGAAACAGCAAAATACTTTACAGAAGTACACAAAGCAGTATGAAAAAGACTTTGGAGCTTGCACAACAAAATGCAAGTCTAAGTGAAAATATCATTTTTGCACTTTCTGCAATGTGACAGAATGTTAATTAAGTCACATGATACAGAGTGGATGGGTTGCTGGGAGCGTGTGTACCCAGTCACTAATATAGCAAGTAAATATGCAAGGTGAATTTTGTTACTTATGAATACCGCTATGCCAAGCTGCTGTGAGGCGCATAGGTAATCACTAAACATTATGACGTCAATGCGCTATTATAGGGGCTAGGAAGGGGAGAGAAGATGGCAGCAGGGGTGATGGATTTGTTGGTGGCATCATACTTTTCACATTTGGATTCTAGATTTGGGGAAGATTTGTCCAGGCCTGTATGCTTGTAAGTGAAATATCACCGTTTTCAGCATTTCTTTCATTGTTACAGAAATGTTACAACTTATGACCTGGAATAAATGAAATATGAAACACTTACTTGTAGAAATAAAGTTCACACACACAACTAATAAAAGCTAAGAAACATCGTATGAAGTAAAACACGAGGACCTGTGGTAAGAAACAACAGAGAATAAATAAAATGTGTTATAAAGCTTACTGCGCAACTACAGTGATTCAAAAACAAAGTTATAAAAGTGTGACCTTTCAGAATATGTAATCTCAGACTGTAACAATACTTCCCCAATTTATTCCATTAAGAAAACACATTGCAGCTAAATTAGAGGCATTGGTTTTCCCACTGGCTACTACATAACTACAGGACAGGAGTATTTTTCCTTGGCTATAGCCAAAAGCACCCTTCAACAAAATAGAAAAAGCAGATCTTAAAGCAGACCTATAGTGAAATATTAATATAAAGGCATATTAAAGAACTTGCTGTGATGAATAAACATTATCTCGCAAATGTGTGCCTGTTGCTTGAATGACTAATTGTGAATGGTGCAGAGTGATAATTATTTCAGGTCTTCAGATTCCCTTTAAAGAAAAGATGAGAAGAAGCAATAGGGTAACGCAGAGCAATACTGATAACTGCAGTAACCCACAGCAACCAGAAAATAGGTTGGCTGAAAGACATGCCCCAGTCCAAACTGAAAGTGAAGTCTTATGATGTATACATGAAGCATAGACAACCTGACCAGTACATGAGGTTTACATCCAGACATTGCTATACTGCACCAGCCCACCCCACTCCCTTCTGTCTGTATTCTGGTGATTTGGGAACACTCCTGCTTGTGATGCTGGAACACTCCCTGCTGATTGCTTACTGCCTCTAACCTACAATAACAAAATGGCAATACCAAGAAGCTTCTCACAGAAGCCAATCAGACTGAAACTTGGCTTAAAAGCTTAAATGTGATCAAAAAGCAGAGAGAAGGAAGTTACATGGGGCACTAGATACCCATCTGGCTTGATGATACAGTTTGGATGGTAGTTCTGACTCTGAGGCTGTCTTTGCATTTCTTTCAATGCAACATGACCGATTGGAGATGGGTTTGCATTGCAGGCAAAGCGGACAAACGCAGCTTTTTACGTTCAAACACATGCATTTGAGTTGCACTGCGTTAAAATGTAAAAGTCAGCATTTGACAGCAACGCCGATTTGCACAATCCCTTAATTCCCAAGCCACTGCATTACTCTAGTGATGTATAGTCACCTGGTACTTCTGGGTGTAGAGGAAAATACCCAGTACTTCTAGGTATAGAGTAATATGTGACACCATGTGACACCACTGGGCCAATCACTACAGCCCTGTGTACACAGGGCAGTTTATATACTTTAATAAAAATGCTTTAAGTCCAAACACTGCTGAACTCTCTATTCACACCTTTGTAAATATAAGTAGTAATAAATGACTTGCCTTGTTTGCCTGAAGGATGTTTGCATGGAACCAAGCAGGTAATGCATGTAACCAAAGGTAAGCATACGAGCGTATGGCATAGGCTGGAGAGTATTCCCATGTTTGAAATCCTTTGCCATAGACGAGGTAGTGAGTCTTCATAAATGTAAGAAAAAGAAAAGAGTTATTGCAAAGTAGAGCAAACCATCATTGCCAATGATTTGATATAATGCAGGAGCCAAGGAACATACATCGTCAAATACAAAAAGATAATTAGACAAATACTGACATTGAGAAACACTGTCATGTGTGGGTGACAATGCCCCCCAACAGTCCACACCACTCCCCCTCCCCATGTATAGTCACCGATTTACATTCCCTCGCGACCTCCTCGCTGCAGGAGTCCATCCTGAGTAAGCTCCAGTGCCAGCTGATGTTGGAGATTACCCTGGTGAATGGCCTCACTAACTCCCCCACCCATACACTTGGACATGTGGGGGTGTTAGTGACACCAATCTCCAGGATAATAACTGACACCAGCTGGCACTGGAGCTTACTCAGCATTCACTCCTGCATCAGGGGAGGTGACATGCTTCTCCATACCCATAAGCCCCACTCAATTACAGTGACAGAGCATGGATGGGCGAGTATACCTCGTTAGGGTGTTGGACTATCAGGAGGCACCGGGTCCTTACCTTGAACAGTGACAGTGTTTCTTCAACCTAAATAATTATCCCACACAAAACAACACATAACAGAGCTGCAAAAATATTACATATTTATTGTATTCCTCTATAGCTGCTGGTATTCTGCATTCATTGCTGTATAATTTTACACTTTTCATTTCACTATATTGTACACCACACTTTTTTTTCTTTTTTACTTCCACTGCTCCAAGCTTGCTCCTGTGATGGACTACAATCTCAATACAAACTAGAAGTCCCATCACTGGAGCCATTTTTTAAAATGTATTTTATTTTTGTATCCGATTAATCGAACTTAATAATCGGCTAACTAATCGATTTTGAAAATAATCGTTAGCTGCAGCTCTAAAAATTATAGACAGATGATGCAAGCAGTAATATGTTTAGAAAAATACAACTAGAAACCTGAACTAAGGAAATATGGGAGATGCCATGACATCCTATCTAGCTGTCCATGACCTGAGTATTTTCTTTTTATTTAGATTTTAAGTAGGGAGTTTTAACATTTTATAACACAAACATTTACGAGGGTGAGTCAAAAATGATCCCCATTCCGGTTATATTAAAACTTCTGTTGGTCGCAGTGTCTTATCAGCGCTTTCCGTTCAAAGCTACCGTCTCCCCAGTCACTGGTGTGCAGTGGTGAATGTGTCAAGTCAGTTCATTTGTAACTGCGGTGCGAGAAAAAAATGGATGCCCCACTTGTAATTTGCACGAAAGAAGAGCAGCGTGCAGTGATTCGTATTTTGTGGTCTGAGAGTGTGCCTGTTGCCGTTATTTATCAAAGACTTTGTGCGCAGTAGGGAGACAAGGTGTGTATGAATGGATAGAGATCTTCAGGGAAGGTCGCACCAAGTGTTAGCCATCAAAAAGGAGCCGGACGCCCCTCCACTGCTGATGACAACATTGAGCATACACCTGAAATGATTCTGTCGAAGAGACGAGTGATGGTGGATTATGTGGCAAATCATTTGCAAATCAGAAAGCAGCCTTAAGCTGGCCATACACCTTACAATTATCTGCAGATTTTCTGTGGTCAGATGGAAAAGGTGGAACAGATTCCTCCATCTACACTTAACTGTGTGGATGGAGTAATCTCCACCTGGGCCAATCTGTTGCACTTTTTCCATCTGACCACAGAAAATCTGCAGATAATTACGGTGTATGGGCACCTTTACGAGGAAAAAGATAAACCTCTGATGAAGAAGTCAAGACAGCGGTGCATTTGTGGCTCACAGCTCAGCCTAAAACATTTCTTAATGAGGGATTATAAAAACTTGTTGACAGATGGACAAAGTGTTTTGAAAAGTAAGGAGACTATTTCGAAAAATTATGTATTTGTCTTTTATTAAAATAAATTCTGCAGCCTGAGTGCACATAATTTTTGACTCATACATATACATACAAAAACAAAAAAATGCAAGACAAAGCATATTCTTAAACGTCAGTCTAGGAGGGAATCAATCTTGATTTAGGGGTCTGTCTGATGTTGTTTGATGTGAAAACCCTTAAAAGCCATGATGGTTAAAAGTTAAGGCTGCAACTTCCTACAGTGTTTATTTTCATGCATGTTAATAAGCTTTCCATTGACATAAGTGAAGTGTTTAGAACATGTGTTAGTACCACAATGCGCAATTTGTAAGATTTTGGGAGAGAGGCTGTGCAGCACTGGAGAGACCACCTAATGAAGATCTCAAATGAGGACAGTACAGGTAACTCTGTCTACTAAAATGCTGGAAAAGGGAGCCAGAAAAGGATAAATGTGATTTAGGGGTCTGTCTGATGTTGTTTGATGTGAAAACCCTTAAAAGCCATGATGGTTAAAAGTTAAGGCTGCAACTTCCTACAGTGTTTATTTTCATGCATGTTAATAAGCTTTCCATTGACATAAGTGAAGTGTTTAGAACATGTGTTAGTACCACAATGCGCAATTTGTAAGATTTTGGGAGAGAGGCTGTGCAGCACTGGAGAGACCACCTAATGAAGATCTCAAATGAGGACAGTACAGGTAACTCTGTCTACTAAAATGCTGGAAAAGGGAGCCAGAAAAGGATAAAATGCTGGAAAAGGGAGCCAGAAAAAGCCTTGTCTTTGAATAACACCCATGCAACTATGTGGTGGTTCTGCCATATTTTAAAATCAACTCAATAGAAGCTGGAATTTCCTTTTAAACTTCTTTATTGCAATCAGCCATGAAATCAATGTGATAGAAGTACCCCAAGCATTTTGCATGGGAATCTCAACCATGTTGCAATCTTGTGTCCCAGCAACTTTGGGCTGCCTCTTACGTGATGGAGCCCTCCTGGGAGGAGGTGTACCTGTGCTTTGACTTTCCCTCTTGTGCTGTTCCTTTTCTCTCTCTCTTTCACTATTTCTTTTCTCTTTTTTCTTTTCCTCCCACCTCCTTTCTTTGCATTCTACCACTAGGCATTTTCTTTCTTTGCTTTCCATGCTTGGTTTTTGTGTTGTTACGGTTTGTTGTTGAGCAACCTTCCTACACTCTTGTGGGGGCAAAATAATTATGATCATCTCATCAGCTTGTCTCTTATGGCCTATGCTGAGTATGCTGCCTCAATCTCAGTTCTTATGTGCCTTAAAGTGACATTAAACCCTCAGATTTTTTAACATAAAACAATACTGTAATGTGTGCCTCACTGTAATCCGTGGTCGTTTCCCTTCTCTTTGCTGCTCTTCCTTTTAAATCCTCATGTCTTCTCATGCTTGGGGAGAACTTCCCTTTTCAGCTCAGGGCCTCTTCCTGTAGTGCTGGCTCAGATTACAAGCCTATAGAAACGTATACACAGACACTGTGTATCCATTCCTGAGACAAGGCAGTCTGCTGCAAAACAGAAGTTCTGCAGAGCATGAGAACAGATACAGATTTAAAAGGAAGAGCAGCAAAGAGAAGGGAAACTACCATGGATTACAGTAAGGTACACATTACAGTATTGTTTTATGTTAAAAAATCTGAGGGTTTAATGTCACTTTAACCTTGCGATCTGTGAATTGTAATATGTTTACTAAGATCTCTGACATGAACATTTTCTTGTCTCAGATTTATACCCAATGCTGTGTTTGTGGTTTTTGTTGATATGCTGTTTTGTGCTCTTTATAATGGCTGCTCTAAATAAAGGATTTAAAAAAAAAAGTAGCCCAAGCAGGCAGCACTTCAGTATTTGTTATACTCACAGGTTCCCAGTAATTGAAGGTTTCGTCACAGTCAGAGATATTGCTTAGAAGCGCTGCACAAAACCTAGCAGATATCAGGCATTTAAATGCAGTAGCTCCTTCTGGTGCCCACACCTGGCCTGCTTTACTAGACCTAAAAACATACAAAAATAAACCATATAGTATCAGACCAATAAATTAGGTTTTGCTTCATTTTCTGATAAAAATAAAGAAGGGCACACACTTTAAAGCAGGAATGGACAAATTAATATGGGATTCAGGAGCCAGCAGAAATGTTTTACGAGCCAGCTACACTGACAATTGAGGAAACATTCAAAAGGTTAGGCATTAGCTATAATGTCTAAGGCGCTGTAGCTAGCTGGGTCCTATGATTTGTCCAGCCCTGCTTCAGCTCATATTTAGGCCAAAGTGGCCTTCTGAAAAACAACGTCCAGGTATAGAGCACAGCTAGTCTGCCATCACATAAAATGCATTATGATTGTCATATGGGGGCAGCATGCCTAGCTGTCAAGTATTTTTGAGGGGCTACCATGGTGTAGAGGAGAGACAGGCACGCATTCTGAAGGCAGCACTCAGGGTTAGCTACATCAAACGAAAAATCCATGCTGCAAAAAAAGCACCCATGGAGAAATAGATACTTACTTCCCACAATGCACACCTATCCCGTCTCCCACACATAACTTCCTTTTGTTATAGAATCTTCAGCATCTGACACTTCTGGGTGTGTTGGATGCCAGACCACTCGGTGACCTGGTACCATTTGCTGCCTCTTCTATCACATCCAGACACAGTAGCAAACCACAGCACTCAGTGTGCAGTCAGGCATCTGACATACCTGGACGTGTGTGAGATGCTGAAAAATCTTCAGCCACTGTAGATCTTCAAGCAACTGAAAAATGGTGAAAAAAGTGTAGGGATCAGCACTAAAAACGGAGACACCACCCCTAAATATAAGCGTAAATACAGAAAGGAAAGAGAAAGACGGGGCTTTATAGGTGATGTCACCTATAAAGCCCCGTCTTTCTCTTTCCTTTCTGTATTTAAACTGAAAAATTGTGACAGCCAGGATACTAATAAGTCTTTTGTTTACAGACAGCCATTATTTTTAAGCTTTTTTGTTATGGTGACAGTATTCACACCGTCAGAACCGCAGTGTACAGATGTGTACAGTGCATAGTTTTGTATGCAGCAGTATAGAAGGCTATAGGCCCAGTCACATTGCTGCATCTGGCAGCGTATTGTGGTGCTGTAAAGATTTTTTTTTTTAAACAGAACAAAGTTGTATCTGGCAATGTATGTAGGACCATCATATCTTACGCTGTATGTATGCATTTGTGGTAATATTTTCATGCACACAGGGTACCTGGACCCTATTGCCCACCGCCGCTACTCAGAGCCGGCATGTAAATATCAACATACTATTGATGTTTACATGTCGGCCCTGAGTGAGTCATGCATGCAGGGGCCAGTGTATGCACAGAATTATATCAACCGAGCATCACCACCACACAAAGGTCCAGATACTTGTGTCCCCGCAGGGGAGATTCACCCCTATATTTGGGTGAATCTCTCCTGGTTACCCCTCGTGACTGAAACAAAAAGTGAGAAAAAATCCTAAATTGTATCGAGTTGTCATCAGAGAAAGCGTTGAGGTGAAATGATAGGGACAAATGTTCTAGTGACAGCTGTCTAAGATGGGAAATCCTCTGTTTGGGGGACTTCTTCTTACTTCCTGTTGTTGTCTCCAAGTGAAAAAAAGATCCCTCCAGCAAGACAGACAGCAAAAAATAACCTGATAGAAGTTTTAATCCTTCTATACTCTACCCACAGCTAAAAGAAAAGGTTTTACATACACTTTAACGTATATATAAAATCAAGTTGCAGTTATCAGTCCTTAGATGTGGTAGTTGCATTTGTTTTCCTTTTTCAGGCTTGTTTTCCTTTATTATCACCTGGTTATCCTTCAAGTAACACCCGTCCTGCCCCAGGGTGACAATGTCTACTCACTGTACTTTATCTATGGAAGAACAGTGTTGTCACCCTAGTACAGGAAGTGTGTTAGGACAGAACAAACCTCTAACATAATTTACATAACATGGTAAGGGTGTTCTGTAGTCCAGAGAGTATTGCACAAGAGGCAGAGGGAACAGGTATTCGCTTACTGGCTGTCAGGAACAGATATAATAAACACTTTCAATGGTATATTTAAACTTTTGCCACTAGTGATGCAAACCCAGGCCAATACCCCTTTCTGCCGGTCCAATCAGTTACAGAGAGGCGCATTCCCTACAGCTATACATCCCAAAGGGGTGAGGAAGGCCCCTGATGCAATCGATTGAGCTGCGAGGTAAGAGTGGTGGACCGGAGTGTCCCACCCCTGCTTTAAGGGGTCACCAATAGTTGGTGCTCAAGCCTGCTCAAAAGTGTGACCACCACCCCCCC